TTTTTGTGTTGTGAGAAATGACCAGCACTCCCTGCTCACCTTCCCAATGGAATTTCTGGCTTTACAGGTCTGCCCCATACCCCGGTCAGTGTCTGCACTGAAGAACATTCCGGTTATTTAATTTCCCTTTTCACATCAGCTGCCAATGCAGCTTTTTTTTTAGTTCCTAGACTCTTTGAACTTGGTACCATTGCAGTGTATTCTAAACCAGAAACCTTCTTTATGTGGGTTGTTTCACAGTAGTTTATTACTTGGTCCAAGTACAGTTTATTAAAGTAAAATAAAGTTTTACCTGTCTGTGAATATTAACCTTTTGGTGTGAGGTCTTGTGACAGCCTTGCCTCCATGGCAAGAAGACGTGTCTGTGATTACCCCGTAGCTTTAGATGCTCTTTGTTTTCCCTGTGGATATGGGGTACATTAGGAGCTGGAGTTTTACTATAGTCCTTCAAATTTTTTCACTGCTTTGTCTTCTCCTTGGCTAGACTGCTTCTCTTTTGGAGATGTGAGCAGTCTTCATGGGGATAGACAGACAGACAGATAGATAGATAGATAGGCAGATAGGTAATTACTGTTTAGGTTCTTATCAATCAGAAATAGCTTATCCAACACACATACCGTTGTTCTGTTCTTTACAGCTCAAGTGGTGCTGTAGGGCTTTGCAGCACAGATTTGACAGGCTGAAGTTACCTGTCCTGCTTCGCTTAACTCCCACCCCTTTGAGCCAGGAGCGCACAGTGAGCTGATATATGTCCATTTAATGTGCATCTCTAGGCTGTTTGCCCCGGCGCTGAGTCTCTGTTACAAGGAGGGGGTGGGCAGGGGAAGCAGAGCAGGCAGAAGGGCTCTTGCAGCAGCAAGGTTCTTGCAGTGCTGCTGAGACTGAACTCAAAACCCTCCTGAGCCCAGGGCATCCCTCCATCCTGCTGTTGCTTGATCTCACCAGATCATCCTTACAGGATCTCATGCTTGTTTGTCAGTGTCCTGTGCAGAGGAGATGTTGGTTTAGTGTTAAACTGGAGGAAGATCTGATCAGGTGGTTTTTGGGATCAGCTATTCACATGCCTGGTGGTAGTTTCCAGTGGTTAAACGGTATCTCTGTGCCTTTTACCAGCCAGAGTTTGTGGAGATGTTTTCTGTGGAAATCTCCCTCTGGCCTTTACAGCAGCAGCTAATCCAGAACTCTCTTTTTCTGGGCCAGGAAGGAGAACAGTGGATGACCTACAGGCCTCCTACCCTTGAGAATTATCCTCCATGAGATAATTTCTCTTTAAAAAGAGGGCGAGAGAAGCTTGTCTGGGTCATTTCACCCCTTAAGTGTGGATGCAAGGACAGGAGACTTCTGCCTCTGTGTGGATTTTGGATGTTCTTCTCCTTGTGCTAAATGGATCAGCTGCTGCGTTGGCAGCTTCATCCTAAGAATGCCTGCACCCGACTTCCATTATTCCCATCCTCCTTTTCCAATATCCTCCCCTTGAATTATTGCTTTCTTCCCTCAGCCTTGCAGACACCTGTGTATTCCATGTCTTTTTCTGGCTCTTTTTACTCCCTTGGTCCATGACTTCTTGGTTGTTCTTCCAAACAGTTGAGGTTGCTGCCCTTTCCTGAAGAAGGGGACGCCAAACCCAAGATAGACCTGTGGTTTAAATCTCATGTCTGTTGTCAGAGATTGTAGAATTCTCAATGTAATAGGGAATTTGAAGTTGATATAGCACGCAAGTAGAGTTTTTCATTTCTATTAGCATTGTGATCCTGGCTTGAGCACAATATCCATTCATTCTAAGGTAAAGAGGAGAAAACATCCATCCATATAAAACGTAATCTGTGTTCTTCACCTGCTGACACTGCAATCCAAAAATGTAACTGCAAACTGGAATGGACACAGCAGTTTTACCTGAGTGACCCTTGAGGTTCTCTGCTTCGAGCAGCTTGACACACATTTTTCGGTCTGGCTGTGTTTCGTACCTAATTCCTGAAGCCCCTTGGGGAGGGATTGTAAGTCAGAAGCTTTTTCTTGCCTACGGGATGTTGAAGCTGACTGTTAGCACGCAGCAGTGAGAAGCTTGACCAGTAAGCCCAGTGCTTTTACACCTTTCAAGCTTAAATAGCTTTTAGGATCAGCATTTCAGTGAGACTACACAAGGAATTAATTTGACCCTTCAAAATGTTACCAGTCTAGAAATTGTCTCCTTGAAGTGCTTATTGCAAAATCCTCCTTTCAGAGGCAAGTGATGCAGACAATATTTTACAATATTTGCAATATTAGGAAGTTGAAATAGATACTTTCAGTTTAAAACCACATCTTATTGTGATAATTCTCACACATGGTGAAGCATATTTGCTTCAGCTCCTTTCTGTTCCCTCTAAAGAGTGTTTTAATTTGTACAAATACATAGTGAAGGAAAAAAATTGCATTTTGGCTTAGCACAGGTTGAAGTTCGTATAAAAATAACTGCTTGCAAATAGAAGTGAATATCCTACAGAGGGAGTTTTCCCCTTTTTCACCAATTTAAGCCAACGCTTAGGCCTAACTCTTATTTTCACAAGCCCGTATCAGGTTTGTCCTGCCTGGCAGTTTGCTGAAGCAATAGGAAATGTAAAAAAACAGAATGTGGAAGAGCCCAGGGTGGGGTTGCAGGGGCACAAAGGGACAAGGAGGTTAAAAAACAAGTCAAGATGAACTAGGGGACTGTGAGCAACCAGCCACCAACATCAGAGGCAAGAGGTGGTCCAAAAGTCACGGGGAAAGTGCCCGAAGAGCTTGGCAGGAGAAGCATCTCCCTGGTCAGTGGGCTCTGGGCTGATGCCTCCCTGCATCTGGCAGGGGGGTGGAGATACATGTAGGTCCCAACAGATGCCAAACAGAGGGGACACATCCCACATGTGAAAAATGGCATTTTAACTCGGAGAAGATTTGAGACAAGCTGGGACTATTCAGCTTCCCCTCAAAGATGAACACACCCAAAAGTGACTGAAAAATATGAAATTTTTTATTTCTAACTTCCAAGTATTTTGGGCATCTGATTCCTGGCTTTGGAAGTCTTGGGGTTCATAATACTGAGAAGTTCAGTTAATAAAAAAGTCTCAAGTATAGACTGTGGGAAAGATCTGCTCCCTCATTAGAGATAATTCTGTCTCAGCTAGGTTTGAAAGAAGGGAGAGACTGACTTTAAATACACTGTCTTCCTCTAGTAGCTTCTCCTTCGTGACAACGTGTTTTCTTTGCACACCCCTCTAACCCAGTGACTTCCTCGGTGTGAGAATAGGAACGGGGGAGGTTTGCTGAGTCAGCAGTGATGCAGTCATCCTGATTTCTGCTTCGATTTCCAGCCTGTATTTATAATTCATTTTTTCCTTTATGCTTTTGAAATTTGATAATTTCAAAGGTAAAGCAGTGGTCAGGACCTTATCCAGCTGAGTTTTTAAAATCTCTGAGGACAGAGATGTGACAGTCTCTCTGGGAACGTGTTCCAGTCCTTAGTCATCCTCACAAGGAAGAATTTCTTCCTTTTGCCCCATCAGAATTTCCCTGGCTGCAACTTGTGCCCATTGCCCTTTCACTGAGCACCCCTGAGAGGAACCTCTCTCCGTCTTTTTTATCACCTCGCTTTTGGGATTGAAAGACTTGCTGTTAGATTTTCCCTTTTGCCTTCTCTTCTCCAAGCTGATTCCCTCATCCTCCCCTTGCATGCCATGTGCTCCAGCCCTCTGACCATCTTAGCAGGACCTGGACTCCATTTGTGAATGTCTTTCTTGTCCTGGGGATGTGGATATGAAGGAGGTGAACCGATTAAGTTCTGCAGATGTAGCCACACCAGTGAAAGCAGAGGGAAGTCATCACTTCCCACGACACGCTGGCTCCGCTTTTGCTAATGTGATTATAATTCTGTTGAGTTCCACCTTGTAGCAATCTTAATACCTTTAGTAAAAAGTACCATGGGTACGGTAGGTCTTAAGGGGAAATCAGTGACATTAGTTGGCCATGTCTCAGGCCTCTGCAGTAGTGAAGAATCCAGATAATTGTAGGAAAGCACATGCCTCTGTGAATCACAGAATCCCAGAATGGTTTGGGTTGGAAGGGCCCTTAAAGCTCCCCCAGTCCCACCCCCCCTGCCAGCAGCAGGGACACCTTCCACTAGACCAGGTTGCTCAAAGCCTCATCCAGCCTGGCCACAAACACTTCCAGGGAGGAGCAGCCACAGCTTCTCTGGCCAACCTGGGCCAGGGTCTCACCACCCTCACACCAAAGAATTTCTTCCTCACATCTCATCTCCATCTCCCCTCTGCCACTTTCAAGCCATCTCCCCTTGTTCTGTCACTCCCTGCCCTTGGCCAAAGTCCCTCCCCAGCCTTCCTGGAGCCCCTTCAGGTACTGGGAGGCCACTAGAAGGTCTCCCCGGAGCCTTCTCTTCTCCAGGCTGAACAGCCCCAACTCTCTCAGCCTGTCCTCACAGCAGAGCTGCTCCAGCCCTCGCATCATCCTCGTGGCCTCCTCTGGACTTGTTCTAACTGGTCCATGTCTTTCTTGTGTTGGGGGCTCCAGAACTGGACACAGTACTCCAGGTCGGGCCTCATGAGAGCAGAGTACAGGGGGATACAGGATGATTCTCTCTTGCTGTAGAGGAGGAGAGAATCATCCCAGCTTTCTTTAGGATGACCATCTAACCCCCAGTAGTGGTTCCCGCTGATTTGACCTGGAGAGAGAGGTCTGCTCCTCCACTCATCTGACATCTGACATGGGTCCGACCATGAGCAAGACACCACAATCAGGAGCCTTCCAGACTTTAATCTCACTTTGTGCATCCCTGAGCCTTGCCCAGTGTCTGGTTTCTGGCTGTGGCAGTCTCCAGTGTGTTAGAGCAAAGGGAAAAAACCCAACACTAAACTGTTCGTGAGTGACAGGAGGGAGATTTCTTCCTAAACCCCACATGCTATCAGCACATCTTCCAAAACAGAGAATTCACGAAGTTTGTATTACAAAGAGAAGAATAATTTGTGCTGCAGCAAAGCAACGTGACAATGAATGGAACATGCTCTTAAAAAAGGGGATCCAGAGCGAGCACCAGGCATCTTTGTGCCTTTTCTGATGCCATTTCTTTTTTTCCCCACATTTAAGTGGGCTCTGGGATTCAATTCATATTCATAAGCTTATTCTTAAAATAGCCTGAATTCAGAGCACTTCTAGATAGCCTTTTACCACTGGTCTTCAATTCGATCATCTTCTTTGGAAGCCGAATTACTGGCTGAATTTTAGAGGTATTTTCACAGTGGTAACCTTTTTCTTTTCCTTGTGTTTTGGTGGTGGGTCAAAGCTTTGATTTGGATCCATATGTTTGTTCTTAAAATTAATTTGTCTGTCAGTCATGGAATTTCTTGTGTGGATGACTTGCTTTCTTGGGTTCATCATACACCTAACCTCAGAGCTCCATTACCATCCGTTCCCTTTCATTAGAGATGTAGGATATTTAGATAGCACCTTCCAAGGAATAGAGTTGAAACAGTGGAGAGCACATAGATCTGTTGATTGAAATGATGGCCCTTTCAGTTTTTAATTATTATTATTTGCTGGCTGTTGAACTTTAGTAGAAATTGCAGAAAACTAAACCAGAAGGTGGACACGCCGTAGACAGCAGTCGTGGCATTGGTCACGGGCCGCTGGGGGATTGATCTCCTTGTTCTGGTTTTATGTAATAACTTCTAATAACTGCACCATAAGCTGCTGGGTTCCTTGAGTTGTACCTAAAGGGCCCTTTTCCATTACGTGTTTCAATTTAAAGAGCAGCTCTTTCATCTTACAAAACCATGTAACTGGAACCAGAAAGAGAAAACTGGGTTTAATAGAGGTTTCTTTTTCTTCCTTCCCAGTCAAATCTCTACCCTACGGTGGGTCTCCAGACTCCAGGAGAGATAGTCGACGCCAACTTTGGGCAGCAGCCCTTTGTGTTCGACATTGAGGACTACATGCGGGAGTGGCGAGCGAAGATTCAGAGCACCATTAAGCGGTTTCCCATAGGAGACAGACTAGGCGAGTGGCAAGCCATGCTGCAGAAGTAAGTCCCTGTTCCAGTCTTCAACTTTTTTGTTCTTTTAGGCTTTAAATACTTTTAAAAATGCTAATTTATATTTTCTTGTGGCAAGAATTGCCAGTCAGTGCATTTTGCTCAATTTTTTTACCCTTTGTTTTGTTGTTTAATAGTCTTTCCTGTGTAGATTGCTGCTGTTTCACATGTAAAAGATACGGGAGAAGTTTTCAGCCAAAGACTGCATGAAAGCTTGTAGGAATGGAAGAACAGACACTTTGAGGTGATGCACTGGGGGAAGGGGAGTGGAGAGGACACCAGAGAAACTCTTAACATAGGAGAAAAGCCAGTACACAAGTCATGGGTTTTGTTAAGAGGAGCCAGCAAGCACTTGGATATGGTTCTTGGGCTTCTGGCTTTGTCTTGGAAGTCCTTGAGAAGTTCCCTTGCTGCACACTAAGGGGAGACTGTGCATCCAGAGACCCAGTGTGCATTCTGAATTGTTTAAAAGAGAGGCAAGAGAGGGAGTGAGTGGGTGAGGGATGGTCCCTGTTGGAGGAGGTGTGCTGGTAGTGTCCGTGCTGCTGAGGGGGTTCAGAAATGACTGCGAAGAAGGGGCCCTCTAGGAAGGAATGAGATCTTTGGGTTATGATGAATGATTGCGTAGTCATGTCAGCTCAAAAAAAAAAAATGCTAAGAGTTGTTAGGGGAAAATCAGAGGATAAAACTAATTCTGTCACTGTGAGTGTGTGCTGCACCGATGATGTGAATACGGTGTGATGGTTCGGTTCTTCCTCTCCAAAAGTATGTAATAGAAGTGAGGAAAAACCCAGGCAGGATGGGCAAAGGTACGGGGTGGGTGTAAGGCAAGGAACAAATACACAGACCCACAGTACTGAAGGATGTGATTGTGAGGGGCAAGGCAGAGGTGTGAAAAAATATCTTGACTAGTCTGCAGAAGGTGCTGAAGGAACAATTGTTTGTTTTTTTTCTCTCCTGCAAGAATTAAAGGACATCAAGTTAAGTTAACCAGAGGCACAATTAGAAGAAATAAAAGAGGTTTTTTCCCTCACACTCTCTGACATAAGATATCAAGAAAATGGCTTGGACTCAATAAATGACCAGAGACATTATTAGAAGGAAAAACGTATTGGAGCTACAATGTAGAGAAGTACCACTCTAGGACAGGAAGTATCTGACAAATCATTAGAAGCTGGAAGGGTTTTGGGGAAGAGTATCATTTCATATGTGCCATGTTTCTTTTTTCCAAGCATTTCCTTTTGCCAGTTGGGAGGTACAAGTACTGGGCTAACTGGATGTTTGGTCTGAGCCAGCACGGATGTGCTCAGAGACTTAACTACTGCCGTTGACTTTAATGTTAATTTTCATTCTTGTACTGGATTGTTGACTTTATGGGGTTGTTTCACTCTCTGCATCTTGCCAGGCTGTGGAAGGACAGGATCCACTTTTGGAAAGCTTGCTAGCAGCCAAAGAGAAGAGGTTCATTGATATTTAGATGGAAATTCTTAGTTCTTAGTGCTCTAAAGGCAACTTACTCAGAAAAAAGTGTGTGCCCTGCCTCTTTGAAGGTAAAAGCAGCTGTGTTGGGTGAGAGCAGTGCTCTGTCAAGCTTAGCTTTATGAATGTGTCTGTAGCACAGGTTCCTGCAACACTCTGTTTCCTTTCTGTGGTAAAACTGACCATTTTTTGCCACCCCATTATTTAGCTGAGTGTTTAGCCATATTAGACTTTTCCTTTTATTGCGCGGTAACACAATTTCTTTGAGAGGCTCTGCTGAAAGACTCTGTGAAATATCTCTGGACAGCCAAGTGGACTGCGAAAGTCTCTCTTTTCTGCCTGCTTCCAGACTGCCCTGAAAACGTCACCGAGTTACAGCGCTGTGACTTCCCTTTACAAAAGCTGTTGCTTCTTCTGCAATAGGACCAGTGTGTTCCTGTGTTTGTTCCTTATGTTCTCCAGAATTTTTTCCTCTGACGTGCCTGGTGGAGGTGTCAGGGTCACCAATCTGCAGTTCCTCCTACCTTCTTTGGACTTCTTTTTAAGAAAAGAAAGAAAGCTGGGGAAGGACTTTTCATAAGGGCAGTTAACGACAAAACAAGGGGAAATGGGTTTAAGCTGAAAGAGGGGAGGATTAGATGAGATATTAGGAAGAAGTTCTTCACTGTGAGGGTGGTGAGACACTGGAACAGGTTGCCCAAGGAAGTTGTGGCTGCTCCTCCCTGGAAGTGTTGAAGGCCAGGCTGGATGAGGCTTTGAGCAACCTGGTCTAGTGGAAGGTGTCCCTGCTGCTGGCAGGGGGGTTGGGACTGGATGAGCTTTAAGGTCCCTTCCAACCCAAACCAGTCTGGGATTCTATGAATCAGCATCACGTTTCCCCACCATCCTCCTTTTCCCAAGCAGGTTGCAGTCTAGGCTTGTAGCTCATGTTAGTAGTCCAGCTGTTAAAGCTTGGAGCACCAAACTCTTGGGCTAGTGTTTTCTTATCCTGTGGCTTTGGTAGGATTCATAGTGTCTTATTTAATCGGTGTTTGCTGTGGGGACTGCAAAGAAGAATTAGTGTGGCAGAATTTTTCATCCGTGTTGCGTTCCTGGGTATGCTGTCACCAGAGGGGCTGATCTGACAAGGTGTTCAAGTGCTTGAAACCTTGAAAAGGACTCATATGGGTAATTTGTCTTCTTTGTGTGTTGTTACAGTCTTACAGGATCGCTAACCTTTTTGGCTCTTGCCATGAAGAATCTGAGTAGGATCATCTGAGACCTGATATTGGCTGATGGGGTTGATTGGAGGAGGAGGAACGGTGTAGGTCCCTATTTCTGATAAAGCAGGAGGACTCAGCATTGTTCATTTCAGAATCTAAGTGGTACCCTGCCAGAAGGAGGAGAACTGTGTGTAACTTGTACAGAGAAGTGTGCAGTCGAGTTCTGTTTTGAAGAGGAAAAGCCACAGATAGTACCAGCCTCTCTGCCACCACTGTGGCTGCTCGAGGTGAGAGAAGCACCCCTAGATGCAGCGCAGAGGTTGCTGCTCCTGTGATTTGAGCACTTCTGCACTCAACAAGTTTCAGGCATCACTCCCAAGCGGTAAAAGCTATTCCTTCGGAGGACCTGGGATTCTGAAGGTGTTTGTCATCTGCATGCACATGTCCCATAGGTCACACCGGAGTGCAGTAATGTTCTCCAGGAGCTTCAGGTAGAGGTACCCCTGGATGCAGCCATGCTGCTGCATGTTTGAGTGTGCAGCACTGCTGCAGTAAGTAGCTGAGACACCAAACTGGTCAGTCAGTGCTGAAAGTTAGCCTGGCATGGTGACTGGCACATGTGTGGTGGTTTCACTGGGCTGGCACTG